ACACACATTCCAGCTTGGCTGTCATGTAACTAATAAAAAAAGAAGGTTAAATATACAATGGCTGCACTTCAGTGTAAGTAACAGTTATTTCCCCTTCAGTAGGTACTGAAATCTGTAATCTGGATCCTGAGACTCCTATTTCTATAGGGTCATCCTCATGAGTAGCTTCTATAGCTCTGCTATCTGAGCCTGAAAACTGTACTGTCTCTTCCGGGCTTCTTATTAGTCACTTCTGATTTTGTGTCAGTTTGTGTACAATTAATGGAGCAAACTGCTTGCAGAGCTCTAATTACGTTCTGATGACTGTCACAGCAGCATCTACTTCTGACTGTACTGGACCTTTATCTCTGAAGCCCCTATCACCACCTCTGATTTAGAGCGTGTACAAGTCTAACAAGTCTGTATTTGAGCAGGTTCCATATAACTCAGATATGCATTCTGATGTTTCCAATATGACTGATGCACTATGCTCTGCTATAGATCTGTAAAAGAACCCAAATCTTCCTCTACTAGATGGAGCAGAGAAGCATAGGATTTTCTATGCTCCTTGTCTTCATCTAATGGCAAATGGGCACTGCCATGGAGGACAAATGCCAAAGTTTTTGGTACCTAAAATCCTTAATAATCATACCGCCAGGGAGGTTAAAAGAATACCACTTAGAGAGTAGAGGATCCTCCATGACTTCCAGGGTGACATAGGGAAAACACCATTCCTTTGTACTACATGCTTGCAAGATTCCTTTGAGCTGTATGCAGTGTTATGCAACAGTATGATACTCATATCTCATCAGTGATACCGTATTCTGGTATCACATGTTTTGCATGTGTAATTCATTTTCTTTCGCTACATTATTGCTTGGTTAAATACAGCAACAGCACCCCAATTGGGTTAATTTTCAATTTGTGAAAAAAATACTTTTTAGGTAGTTTTGGCTGTGACACCTGATTTTTCTATATAGCAGTAATAGGCCTGGATCAAGCAGCGCAAGTAGAAGCCACAGCAGATCTAAAAGCTGTAGGAAAGTTTACTCTTAAAAAAATAGTGCTAATGCCCTCAACTTTGTACCAATTGGCCAGTGGCAAAACCATTTCATAGCATAGCTAATGATCTTTTTTGCAGCACCATACTGTATTGTCTAAAAAGTATACGTTTATATCTGTGTCTGTGTCTGTGTATACACTGTATAAGTTTATTAAGTGTCAAAACAGTCCACAAAAAACACTTCAAAACCACAACCCTGCATTTCAGAGATGAAGCAGTTTTTATCCTGAAATAAAAATGTGCGTGCTATATTTCAGGGACAATAGCCACACACATAGTACAGCAGCTAAAGAGTATGTATGCAGCTTGATTGGGCTACAGTTTTTATCATGAAATAAAAATTAGAGCGTATAATTTCAGAGACAAAAGCCAGAATTATTGTACAGACTCGCTGTATATAATGTAAAGAACTTTACATGGCCGCAGTTGAAGAGGGAAAGACGAGGAAGATTTTATAATTAAATAAAATGTAGAGTGTAATATTTTTGAGACAAAAGCCAGAAATATTGTTTAGACTCCATGCACACTGGTCTTGACACATCAGCCTTTTTATTAGGCCGCAGGCAGAGATTGGGCAGATTTTATCATGAGATAAAAACTAGAGTGTATTATGTAACCCTTTTGCTGCCACCTACATGTGGCAGTGGTGGCATGTACACAAACTTCCAGCTGCTATAGCAGTCAGGAGTTTGTTTACACTCTCACAGCACACCGTTGACTTTCTAGTGAAAAGTGATTTTACTGCTGCCTGATCACATCTGCATACCGCTGAAGTCTCCTACTTCGTGTCCTTGGCTCACCCGTCCCTCCTACATACCCAGGGCCTCCATGGAGATGTCAGGATGAAGGGCGAAGGAACACCAGCAACATCTGTTCGCTGCTCTCCCCTGGGTAGCATGAACCAGGAAACAGCAAACTATGTTTACTACCTGATATAGCACTGTCATTCACTCTTCACAGAGGTGGCCTTTTCCCAGCTACAATCTGTAATTGGTTAGCTTCAAAGGAGTGCAGGGGTGGTGTTAGGTGTCTAATAGACCCTTGATGTCTCCTTAAAGAGACCCTGTTACCTGCACTGTGCTATCACAGCAGCCCCCACTTAAAAAAACATACGAATGTGCATAATGATGACTGTTCCAAACATAATAGGCACATCATCCTGGACCCATCATTCACTGTTCACTCTAAATTGATGAGCTTTAAAGGCTTTTAAAGAAGTAGTTAATCTCATTCAACTGGACTTGTTTTGTAATGTTGAAGACATTTCATATCTTATCCAAGCCACTTTAACAGTCCTGATGAGTCTCTGGAAAATTCCCCACGCATTTATATCCACACATATAGTGCAGGCACCTTAATCCAATCACCATAGAAAGGCAGGTGTTAATTGCTTAAGTACAGGATAGGAGGTGTGAAATGACCTTTCCACACCCTCTTCATCACTTGAGCCAAGTTGACAGTAAGCTACAGCTGCAGGAACATCAGTAACCAATTGCTTCTCTCTGCCTGTTGTCCCCACCCTCTATGCTCCTGGCATTATCTTCCTCCACATCTGATAACAAGAATTCTTGAGCATCCTCTTACATCAAGTTATTCATGCTGTGATTATTCACCTATGGTGCCTGCCCCCCCGGAGAGCAATTATCCTGTTTCAAAATTTGGACCTCTGATGGTGGGATGTGAGGTGGTGCAGATTCATTAAGGATGGATAACTGGTACCTCTGGGGGACCTGAGGGAGCAGTTCAGCAGTTAACCAATGGATACCTGGAGATATTTCCAGTTACATAACGTTTTCCATTCTCAAGTACAATAGAGTGCGATGAGCTTCCTCACCTTTTTGAGAAGTTATGCACAGAATATATGCCTCCAATTATTAGGTTGATATTCTTGCTCTACAAATTTCTACTTTTGGCCAAACCTGTAAACAAGCTTCTGTGCATCAGGGAATGGGAACAAGACTTAAAAATTACACTGACAGAGGTTTACATTCACCAAATTTTTCAGTTGGCCCATGGTTCTTCCATAGATTCTAGATAACAGGAGACAAATGATAAGCTTTTATCACATTGGTACAGGGTTCCATCTTATTTAGCTAAAATGTACCATTCTACTCCTTCAGTTTGTTGGAGGGGTTGTGGTCAAGAGGGTACCCTTCTACATACTTGGTGGGAATGTCCATGTATACGTCCCTTTTGGCAAGATATCCAATTAGAAATTATAAAAGTTTCGAACCTAGCACTACCCGATGAGCCGGGGCCTTTTCTGCTGCATTTAGTTCCTCTCTCAATCTCACAATATAAGAAATGTGTTCTTCCCAATCCTCTGAATGCTGCCAAGCGTCTGGTGCCTATTCTCTGGAAAAGCACAACAGTTCCTACAAGAGCAGATTGGATTGCTAAGGTTAATGGGATCATAGAAGCGGAAGAAAAGGTCCTTTCTTGTCCTTTTCATCTGTCCCTCCGGCTCTGCGGCGGGTCTCCAGCGCTGACTCCTCTGGGCTTGCTGGCACTTCCTGTCCCACGGTGTCTGCATGCGGGTGCACGCGACTATAGACTTACCTTGTGTCTCTCCTTGCATCCCGGCCGAAAATGTGATCTGCGCATGCGCCCGCCCCAAGATGCTGTGCGGCCACCCGAGAATTTTCAAATTTTCGAATGGGAGCACGCGGGGAAGACACGGGTAAGTATTAACCCTTTTAAAAGCGCTAGCAGTAGATATATGCTAAAAAAGCTGAGGCTTTCATTATCCTTTAAGCCTAACATGCTTCTTGCTCCCACCTTCACAATTCTTTTTTCATCCCACTTCATTCACTTTTGTTTTCTTTTCGTTCCTCTTTTTCTTTTCTTGCCTTTTCTAGCACGTTTGTGCCTTTCTTCCCATTCTTACAGTTTCCTTATTTTTTAGATTGGTACTAGATGCCATTATCGTATCATAACAATGCAGTTCTATTGGTTATGATTGTTTATCACATGTTTGCATTACAACGCTATTCTTTGAACTGCCATGGCTGTATTTAAGTGCCTTAATTTTTGTTTTATTGTTAGAATTAAAACTAAAATAAATATTATATTCTAAAAAAACTGCAAGGGGCTAAACAGCAATGAAGTTGTTGCTTCACTACACAAAAAGGAAGTCCTAAAAAGGACTTTTTGTCCAATTAACTATCAGCACTGTGGGTAGACAATATTATGGAACCCTATCACAATGCGATTCAGTTATATATCGCAATACAGAACAGTAAACACAATGGTTGGGTGTACAGACTATATAACCAACTACACTGCAATTCACTGTAATAATTTAGCACAATACAACACTTTATCGTACTTTATATAACACAGGTTAACAGCACTGTATAAGGGCAACTACCTCGTCCTGCAAACAACACTCTGTCAGCTGTCCAAGTCTCTCTCCACATTCGCTGACAGAAGGCTGCTGGGAACCCTGGCTTTTAAAGAGAGGGGGCTAAAACATAAACTACCCATTATTGATACTTGTAAAACATCAGACCACAGTTCGAAGATCAAGAAGTGTATTATTGATAATTTGTTGCTATGGCAGCAAACAATTGCATTAATTTGCTGTTTTGCCAAACTGCAAGCTACTAGAATTTTGAACTAGTAGACAACTCAAACCTCAAGCTCATCCCTAGCAGCAGATGAGTGTTATTGCAGCATTAAACACATAGAACAGAGAGTGATCATATGTCATTGGAAAGGAGTGTCCTGCAAAAGCCCAGCGATTATTGATATACAACAAGGCTATCACAGTGAGATACTGCTAGTTTGTTCAGTGTATGTAAACCCTGTTTTAAGTTTGTTTAGTTGTGTTATCCTGGTAGTGATAACTTTAATCAATCTTGCACTATTGTTATCTTCCATGTTTGCTGTGTGGTTTTTCATATTTACTGGTTTTCCTAGAATGGCAAACAAGATTACCTTTTTTTGTTTTTTGCAGGAATAAATGTTGGACCTGTGGTTGCAGGAGTTATTGGTGCCCGACGCCCTCAGTATGACATTTGGGGCAACACAGTTAATGTTGCTAGTAGAATGGATAGTACTGGGGTGCAAGGAAAAATTCAGGTGAGTGTTTATTATTTGCCCTTACTTTTGCTCCATTGAATTCTATTACATATTATGTCAATAAATAAGTATTGGACCAGCACAGAAATCAAAACTAAAGCATATAAATAATTGTTCTGTTAGTGGACTGGGACTTTTCAGGTGCTACAATGATTTACATGAGAATTATTATTGGTAAAGCATTTAAATGTTATTGTACAATATATAAAATGAATTACAAAATCCTAAAACCGAGCTGCCTTTATAAAACATTTGCAAATCAAACAAAGAGCTAATATTATATATTGTCAATCATAACCCTACCAATACATATAAACATGGCAAATAATCCAAAATAGGCATAGAGGCACTCACAATTCTTGCAGCAAACATAAGTCAAAAATGTTTATTTACAAAAGAGCCGAAGGATCCAGCCTTAGCTACTGCTGATCTTTCAGCTCAGTTCGGAGGAAGCGAGCAGAATAGCCGAGCCAAATGCCACTCGGCTGCATTCGGCTATACACTCACAGCAGTTCGGCCCCTATGAGAATAGTGACGAACTGCAGTGAGTGAGCTGCCGGAGCTTTGGCTCAGCTGATCCAGATGTTGGGATCGGCTAAGTCGAACTCCTGCACTTTGGCTCAGCCAAACATGCAGAGCATGGCTAGGTTATTCACTCTGCTGCCTTCAGCAGCTTTGTGAATAACCCTCAAAGTCTTTATCAAGACACTGAAACAAAAAGGTGAACAGACTAAAAAAAAAAGAAAACGCACCTCCCAAACCCCCTAGTGATGAAATCGCACTGTGCAAATATATAAAGGCACACACTGGAACGAGGTCAAAGAAAGGACACAAAAGAAACATTAATCAACCAAAAAACATAATATGCTGCATCCTAGCTAAAATGGAACTATAAAAATATTGCTAAAGTGATGCATTAAAAAATAGTAAATGCAAGAACTATGGGTACAGGTACTCCTAGAATGAGATCCTAATAGGTTGGACTTGATGGACTAATGTCTTTATTCAACCTCAAATACTATGTAACTATGTAAGAAAATGTGGAAAAAGGGGAATATCTGCCACTCTCACAAAATGGGCACCACATGGCACATGCCAAATACCAGACAGAAACGGACCACCCAAAATTAGCAACAAGGCATGTCAAAGTAACAAGGAATGTGCTAGGACAACTTACAGGTCTATTCAGAAAAGGGTGAAGAGTTTGGAGAAGGCAGGAGAAGTGAACAATCTAGGACAAAATAGCCGATTTGGAAAAATTCTCCAATTCAGCTCACTTTCCAGTTCAGCTATGTTGTCCTAGATTGTTCCCTTCTCCTGCCTTCTCCAAACTCTTCACCCTTTTGTGAATAGACCCCTTAGTGACAAATAGCTACAAGTGAAAGATAACAAAGTATCCATAACGACACAAGTCCATCGAGTTCAACCTATAGAGATATGTTAAAAAAAAAAGCCTACAGAACACTATGCCCACAGTTACCCACTGTTTATCCAGAGGACGGCAAATGAAAACCCTATAAAGCAGGGTACAATTTGCTCCAACGGGGGGAAAAAAATGTTTCCTGGTCCCGTAAGGCAATTGGATGTTCCCTGGATCAACAATCTCTGGTGCTTAATATACATTAAGAACTCAATATCCAGTAACATTCTGTGCATTTAGGAATACATCCAGATTTTTTTAAACCGTTAACTGAGCTAGCTAGAACAAGCTCCTGGGCAAGTATATTGCACATTTTCACAGCTCTAACTGTGAAGAATACTTTCCGTATGCAAAGATTAAACCTCTTTTCCTCCAGATGCAAAGTGTGCCCCTTTGTCCTTTGCAGTGACCTTAAAGTAAATAATTTGGCACCAAGCTCACTATATGGACCATTTATGTATTTATACATGGTGATCATGTCCCCCCTTAATCGCCTCTTCTCCAGAGATAACAAATTCAGGTCAGTTCATCTTCCCTTATAGCTGAGCTCCTCCATGCGTCTTATAAGTTTAGTTGCCCTTCTCTGCACTTTCTCCAGTTGCACAACATCTTTTTTGTGAACTGGTGCCTAAAACTGAACTGCATATTTCAGGATAAGGTCTCACTAATGCTTTGTACAGGGGCAGGATTATGTCTCTATCTCTGGAGTCTATACCCCTTTTTATACAAGAAAGTATTTTGCTTGCTCTAGAAACTGCGCCTTGACATTGCATGCTATTATTCAGTCCATGATCTACCAGAACACCCAGATCTTTCTCCTTAATTGACTCCCCCAAACATACTCTCCTTAGAGTGTATGAAGCATGCATGTTTTTAGTCCCTAACTGCAATGTAAGGACTGTATTCCATTAAATAACTTGGTGTCATCTGCAAACACAGAAATAGTACTTTTAATCCTCAATTCAATGTCATTTAGAAATAGATTAAACAATAAGGGGCCCAATACTGAACCTTGGGGGATACCACTAACATCCTTAGACCATTTTGAGTATGAATCATTGATCACCACTCTATGAATACGGTCTTTAAAGGAGAACTATGAGTTGAGTTCTTTTCACTCAGCCTCATAGTTCTAGCCGACCTGTGACAATGAAACTGTCACAGGTCGGCTCAGTAGATCGGGAAGTGAGCAAACACATACCGGCGTTTGCTCACTTCTCGATCCTGTCACGGCAGAGAACCGTGACGGGGGAGGGACTGGATTCCCCCCTCCCTGCTCTGATCCTCCAGCCTGACTGGCGGAACGGACTGGGGAGGGGCAGGTACAGCTGGCTCTGCCTCTAGATAGGCAGAGCCAGCTGTCACTCACGCAGCTGGGCTGATCAGACATAATTGTCGGTATCCGTTACAGCTGCGGCGTATACGCATACTGGGCTTAGGGTGACGGGAGGACGCTAGATTGTGTCCTCCCGTTACCCTCAGGAGAACTATGGGGAAAAGCCCTAACCCCATAGTTCTTCTTTGAGCCAGTTTTCCATCCAATTACAGATTGTATAATCTATACCTACTGACCTTAACTTATACATTAGCCACATGTGGGGAACTGTGTCAAATGCTTTTGCAAAGTCCAAGTATACTATATCCACAGCCATTCCTCTGTCCAATGTATTACTCACTTCTTCGTAAAAAGAAAGTAGGTTTGTTTGACAACTTCTGTTTTTTGTGAATCCATGCTGACTATCTCTGATGATATTATTTTCAAGCAAAAACAATTGGATGTGATCCTTGATCAAATTTCAAGATCTTCCCAACTATTGAAGTTAAACTTACAGGTCTGCAATTACTTGGTAAAGACTTTGATCCCTTTTTAAATATAGGCATCACATTGGCCTTGTGCCAATCCATCGATACCAAGTCAGTCATTAGAGAGTCTCTAAAAATTAGATACAATGGCTTTGATATTATACAACTCAATTCTTTGAGGACACGTGGGTGTAAGCCATCCGGTCCAGGTGCTTTGTTCACCTTAATTTTGTCTAACTGTTTCTGGACCTAATTTTTTGTCAGGGTAGTTAAAATCTCCCATTACTCCTACTGTCCCTGCCCTTGCAGCCTCTATCTCTAGTCTTTATCTCTCTATCTATCTCTTCATTAACACTGGGGGGGCCTGTAGCAAACTCCAACAATTACCTTTGCATTATGCATACCAGTATATAACTCCACCCATAATGCCTCAACACCATCACACTCACCATCAACAAAGTCTTCTTTCACACTAACTTTTAGATCACTTCTCACATAGAGACAAACACCGCCACCTTTTCGTTTTACCTGGTCTCCCATGAACCTCTCCCCTAACACAGCAGACCCCCTTCCATTTAGGTTGCACCCCATTGAAAAGTCAACCCAGTGCTCCAGAAACCCAAAGTCTTCCGTCTTATACAAGGTCTTTGGCCACACACACACACAAACACACACACCTGTGCCATAAATGGACAAATGTAAGAGAATAAATAAGCAGCCTACAAAAGAAAAAGCCAGATAGATTGATATAAGATTTGCAAATTAAAGAGCTATTACTGCTATAACTATTGATAACTCCACCAATACATATAACCTTGTTAACACATCAGTATTTTTTCATTCATATAGTTGATCTCTCTCTCTCTCTTCTCTCTCTCTATATATATATATATAGATATCTATATAGATATCTATATAGATATCTATATAGATATCTATATAGATATATATATATATGTATGTATATCCCCAAAAAATTATATCAATACATAAACAGTAAAAATGCGAGAAAGGAGCAGATAGGCCCAATAAAGGATGAAAACGGGAGATAGGTCACAAATGACAGGGAGAGGGCAGAGGCGCTAAATACTTTTTTCTCGTCAATATTCACCAAGGAAAGAGACGGGTTTAATGTACATGATAAAACACATAGTTTAACAGAAAATATACCTCAGTGTTTGACGGAAACCGGGATACAACATAGACTTAAACTACTTAATGCAAATAAAGCATTAGGACCTGATAATCAACACCCCAAGGTACTCAAAGAACTCAGCCAGGTAATAACGAGACCATTATTCCTCATTTTTAAGGAATCCATAATGACTGGTAGAGTGCCAAGCTACTGGTGAAAGGCTAATGTGGTATTTATATTCAAAAAAGGGTCAAGATGCCAACACGGGAACTACAGACCTGTTAGCCTGACATCCATAGTATGCAAAATATTAGAGGGAATGATTAAGGACTACTTAGTGGAATTTGTTCAGGATAATGGTATAATAACTGATAACCAGCATGAATTTAGGAAGGATCGTTCTTGCCAGACCAACCTGCTAAACTTTTTTACGAAGGAGTAAGTAGAGATCTGGATGGAGGGAGGCCGGTGGACGTAGTGCATCTGGACTTTTCCAGAGCATTTGATATGGTGCCACATAAACGCTTGTTATACAAGCTAAGGTCTATGGGCATAGATGAAAGAGTGTGCACGTGGATAGAAAATTGGCTACAGGAACGTGTACAAAGAGTATCGGTTAATGGCACCTTTTCAGACTGGGCTGAGGTCATGAGTGGTGTGCCTCAGGGTTCTGTGCTGGGCCCCATGCTTTTCAACCTGTGTATTAATTATATCGGGGAGGGAGTGAATAGCCATGTTTCAGTGTTTGCTGATGATACCAAAATTGGGAGGGTAATAGACACGGACTTAGACATTATGACATTACAAGAGGACCTGGATAAAATAGGGGAGTGGGCAACTGTATGGCAGATGAAGTTCAATGTCGATAAATGCAAAGTAATGCACTTTGGAGTTAAAAATAGGCAATTGGGCTATAAAATTAAACCACAGATTGAAGAATAGCTCGCAGTGCCAGGCTGCTGTAAACAAAGCAAGTAGAGTCCTGTCTTGTATTAAGAAGGGAATGTATTGCAGGGACAAGTCTATAATTTTGCCACTTTACAGATCACTAGTTCGGCCTCATCTGGAGTATGCTGTCCAGTTTTGGTCACCAGTACTCAGAAAAGATGTCCTTGAGCTGGAAAAAGTCCACCGCAGGGCAACCAAACTCATTAAGGGTTTGGAGGACCAGAGCTATGAAAAAAGGCTGTTAAAATTAATTATGTTCTCCTTGGAAGTAAGGAGATTAAGGGGGGACATGATTTTTTTGTATAAAATGTTCAATGGTGAAGGCAACATTATTAACAAACTCTTTATGGTTAACCCCATAACAAAGACTAGAGGCCACCACCAAAAATTTGTGGAGAAAAAATTTCAGCACACGGGGCGCAATGGTTCTTCTCAGTTAGGCAGTGATTTCAGCAAAGAGTGTGGAATCACGATTTCCTTGGAGACTAGCCCGTACAGCAGCCCTTCAGTTTGGCTGAACCGGAGGGCTCCGGCCGCTGATGTGAGCCAAAGGACTAGCCAATGCTTTGGCTCAATCCTTGATCTCCTTCGTGAATAACCATAGGTATGAAAATTTGAAAAACAATTGCACCTTGAAACAATGTAAAGATTCTTTTCTTTTGGTAGATTAACTTAGTAAATTAATATTTCTTACCATATGACCGGTAAATACACCACAAATTGCATACTATCGCTTTAATATTTTCAAGTTGCTACCTTAAATAACAAGTTGCAACCTCAAATAATATACACCAAAAAATGCTAAATAATTGCTTTTTTTGTGCTTTCAGTTGTGTTTTGGTGTATTTTTTTGTTGTTCAAGATTTTTTTAAACAATAGGGAAAAATAGTGGTCCAAATAGAAAATTGAGAATTGTTCACAATTTTCTTTTTTAGAGGCATAGTTTACTGTTTGGTATTTCTTTTCGTTTAACAATAAAATACACAAATGGAAGATAAAAAAAATGTTGTACTTGCTCTGTACATTTTTTAAGTTCCAAAAAAGATACAATAAAATATAGCATACAGGTGGGAAAACCCCACCCACCCATTTATTTTTGTGATTTAATACATCAATGGAAAATCTTTAACACGTCATGCATGTGTTATGCATGAGAAAGAAACATTTTACATATTTTTTAGGCAATGGGAAAAAAATGGGGTCAAAATACCAACTTGAAAACAATTAAAAACAGTATTCTTTTTTGCCTTATATTTTTGGTGCATTTTACTGTTCAATGTTAGAGATGAGATTAGGTTATATGGGATTCCCCGTAAACTTTGTCCCCCCTTTCCTTCCTGTACCATACCAGGCAACATACATTTTAACACTGGGAGGGTACCTTGCATCTGCTGTCCCAAATGGGATATGGTCGATAGAAATCTGGAAGTCCCGTTTATAATAAGCAAACCCCTTGATATCTGCCCCATCACAGGGAAATGAGCATGAGATACATTAGAATCCATTCATTATAATTTCAAAATTTAAACAAAAAAATTAACATCGTGGAAAAGTATTTTAGTGAAATTACAAAATAAATGTAAACAAATGTCCTCCAATATAAATTCATCAACAATCATCACAACCCGCAATCCAACAATATTTCTCCACTACAACCTGCCACCAGACAAAGTTTCTTCGCTGCACTCCTATCGGAGATGGAGAATTCTCTGATAATGTAAACACAAAGCAGGGGATCTTGAGTGATGTCACTGACCTAATATGGTCATGACACATTTATCGGCTATAGTGCAGCGAGGCAACATTGTCGGGCAGTGGGTCATCAAGATGGTGGAGAAACCATTGTGATTAACAATAGATGTACCTTGCTGAATCACATGATTCATGACGAACTTACATTAGAGCTCTTTTTTCGGCTTTTCACTTTTTTTAGGAATGTGTGACAAGGAGTACTAGTGAAAGTCCACCCCCTTAAATTTGGGAAAATGGCCTTTGTCCCTCAACATTGGGGCAGTGTACCTTGCAAGTTGGAGGGAGACATTGTTGTCATCCTCCCTTGTAAGGTACCCATCAGTGCAAAAGGATTCTGGCTTGGTCTGGATAAGGAAAGGTGATGATGCTATGTTACCTTTAAAACATCACTACAGCATGTTATTTAAAAGGTTTGTGTACTTTCAATGTTGCCCTTTAAGCCACATTTTAGCACCCTCTCCTTCTCTGCTAAATGGTATTCTTATAAAAAAACAAAATTTCCATTTGTATATGTCCCCCATGCCAGTGCACAGCTGCCCTATGCCCCTTTTTAACAATGACCTGCAAATAAACTTTGAAAAAGCCAGAACAATGGCATTCCCTTAGACTTCTTTAAGGTTGAGTAATGTTAAGAAACATCAAAAAGTAAAATGCACAAATGGCTCATCTGGTAGCCAAGAGTAACCATAAAAGAAGGCTGCCCTTTTATTTTAGTGCAATTCAAACTAAATTTTAATTTAATTATTTTTGATTGAATTTAAACAGTGGAAACTTGTGACAAATTTGAGTTTGCCATGGATTCAAATCAAAACAGGATTTAGTGCATGCCAGTAGAAGAAGTCCTGGACAGGGTCCATCACATAACAAACATGTAGAAACCCACCTAAAGGTTAAAAAATGTCATAGTTTGAGTTATAATATATAAAATTTTTGGTATGACTGTTGTACTATGGGCCCCACATCTCTTAAAGGAGATTTAAAGAAAGTACAAAAATAAACTAAAAAAAAAAAAAAGGAAGGTCGCAAATCTGATAATTACCTGATAATTTAACTTTTATAAGTAATATTGTATTATTTTATATTTGAAAATTTAAAAATAACTTTTTTTTTTCAGGTAACCGAAGATGTCTATCGAATATTAAAGAGATGCAATTATGAATTTGTTTGCCGAGGTAAAGTCAGTGTTAAAGGCAAAGGGGAGATGTTAACATATTTCCTTGAGGGAAAAGTTGATGGATCAAATGCACAAACTCGATCTCTAAACATAGAACGTAAAATGTACCCTTATGGTAGATCAAACATTCCAACAAAGTTGGGTACAAGTTGTCCATCTGCAGCAAGTCTTTCTAGCCCAACTGTGGGTACACTTCAAGCTACAACATCTCATGCAAATCAGACTCTTCATTTCCTTCCTTCTGTGCCTGCAGTTGAAGAGGCATGAAACAAAAAAAATGTGTTTGCGCCATCCACAGTGAGCTAAATGCCTGTTCTTGTAATAAGAAAATAAGGGATAAAGAGATGTCACAAAACCAAGGATAATTCATCCAACCAAAGAGAACTATGGAAACTGTAAGAATGGAAAAACCAAGGGCTAACAATTGTGTTAGGTGTTCAGGGAACAAGCCGTCATGTTCCAAATTCTAATGGGATTTGAGAAACCAAATTCAAAGATTGCATATTGAAAATGAGTGTGTCTGTTATACATAAGCTTTTGAGGTATATATTGGGATACATTCATCTAAGGTACTTATTTATTTCAAATTAGATTTTAAAAATACAGCAAATATGTGCGTTTTAGATACATTCAGTCTTATGGGATAAGTAACCTCCCTTCTTGAATGTACTTATGTTTAAACACCCACAGCTTTTGTAGGTAAACTTTGGTACAACTCTCCTAGGACTTCCACATTTTGATTTGTTAGGAGTTAAAATTTTCGAAGGTGCTAATATTTGAAAGTTAGATCACTTGAAATGTTTAATATTGGATACTTTTGCACACATTGGATGAAGTTGTGATGTTTTGTCCAGATATGGACTAATTATTTCAGAGATATATCAAGTCATGCTTTTTGCATGTAACCTGTATCTTTGCATTAAGGATAATATTATATATCTACAGCAGCAAATGAGGAAAACAAAGACTGGACTCAGGGGTTATACAGAAAACTAAAAAAAATAAAAAACTTACACAATGTGTTGTTTTAATGTAGGTGATTTATAAATATTACAAGCACAAAAACACAAAAAACAGAAATTGTGATTATCATCTTTTAATTTGCAGATAGTTTCAAAATGATATTACAATGCAACTCATGATGACCCTAGGATTTGCAGCATTATTTTGCTTGCAAATAAATTTCAGTTAGTTCCCTGTCATCCCTGTATTATCAAACCATAAGAAGCAGTTTTTAAATACTGTTTGTTTTTAATATATTTAGTATGTTTTTTGCAACTAAACCATGTTGGGATACATTTTTACTCAATTAGTACCTCTTACTAAAACACAATAGCATTTACTATATGTAGGTTGAATAATTTTCTGAGAATGGACACCTCCGATTGTCTTTCTCTCCATGGGACTCTCTGATTATCAAACCTAAGAAGGTGTGGCTTTTTGAGAGTGAGTGTGCTTTCAAAGATATATGGATGTAACCTGGTGGATATGAGCAAGATGTTGCACAATCAGGCAATGGGGAGTCAGGCAAAGGAAGCTGATGTAGTAATCAGATATTGCACAAAAATGATTCATGATGAGTTGCTATGCTGAATATGGGTAGACCAGAAAATTGACCATGTTTGCTATCTGTTGAGGACAAGTGCAACCTAATTTGTAGGAATGGATATTTGTAGAATGCTGGTATGTCTGTCAATACTATAGTTACTGAAGCACATTTATTGTTAAAATATTTGGGTTGGCTACTGAAAATGTATCAATAACAATTATTAACAAAAGGCACATCTAAACATAAACATTCACAAACAACCATTATAGTTTGGAAGGTGCCAGCTGTACCAGCAATAAATTGGCAACATAATGTTGACTAAAACGTGTTTTCTCTGCATCTGCCTCTCTCTCGCTCTCTCTAACTATACATTTGAGGGTGTGTTTTTTTACTCATGTATATATTGAAAATATATTGCTTTACACAGGATCTTATAATCTATTGTCCAAACCTCAGTCATGCATACATACATACATACATACACACATACACACACTAGGGCTAATTTGGGTGCGTGTATCATTTTGTCATCTTTTAACTGCTGAGCTTCCAAAGACATAAAACAACTTTTTCTATGATGTCCAGTGTAATTTTGCTGGCAATTTCAGACCCATATTTGTGAAGTTCCACAATAGTTTTTATATGTTTATGTATTTTTGATTTGAAAATAGTACAAAAGTGCAGAATATGATGAGAATATATGAGAATTTCTAAAGTATATTGTTATTATTTGGTGACAATCATACTATAATCCTTTTTATCTTAAATGTATATCTTCTATAACATGTAGTGCTAACATGTAATTTATGGAACTTGATAATCTGTTAATACATTCCATATGATTATGAGGTACTTGGAAGTTGTAATAGTATCAGAAATACTAATACTATCCACTTTGCAGCTGCAGCAAAATCAAATAAATCACAGATAAACATATTTTTAAAAGCATGCTGTCAATTAAAATATAACTGGTTATCATAAATGTACTACATAGTATTTAAGTAGATTTTTAAATTATTATTTTTAGAATCAGTTCTTTTGATGAGCTTTTTCTTTCTAATCTTCTGATCAGGATATTCTAAGCACAAAACAAGTGTATATTACAGTGTTCTATGTAAGTGCACTAAATAACCAATTTGTATATGATAATATGGCATTTTATTTTTATTTTTCATATTTGTTGTTTAGAAAAGTAGGTTAACCCAAGTCCTTTGTGGTAATTAAGAGCATACATTCTTAAAATAGTTCACAAAACAAGTACACATACAAGTACAGGCACCACGACCCAGTATCTCTGCAGAGTAGTCAGAAGCAAATAGGTTTAGCACCCCTTTAATGGGTCAAGCATCTATGGGCCTGATATACTGAAGATATTTCAGACATTATCTTCTAACACATTTTATAATTTGTCAACCATTTTCAATTTTTTATGCAAATACATATGAAAATGAGCTACATTATGTGTTAAATTAACATTCATTTGACAAATCTACCATGTTTAGACTAAGTGGTAAAAAGTAGTATATTATGCTCAATCACAAGTGCTGAATGTGCGTGAAAACATGGAGGTGCCAAACCAGAACACCAGACACATGGACACACCATTATTTAGATAGCATACAATATGCTTTTCATCACTTGGGGGCTTTAAGAAGGACCATCTTAAATCACTAGAACTAATGGGAAGTTTTTTGCCAGTCCTGGTGTAGGTTGTTGACAACCTGGGGGAAACCCACTCAAGCACAGAGAAAATATACATGCATCAGATAGTGTTTCTGGTGGGTTTCAAAGCCTAGCGGGAGGATAGAGCTTCAAGACAAGAACACAAAAGTCAGTTACTGTGCTGTTTCTTTTAATGAGACATGTAACTGGATCAGCTAGGGGTTCTGAACATGCCTTTTTATGGTTAGTCTAAAATGATCTGTCTTTATTCAACCTAACCATGCAACCTATTTGACGAGCCAAGTTATGCTATCTTATGTGATTGATGTGGCATGTTTAGCAGTGCTTGATGGCCATTCAGACCATTTCTTAATATAATTTCTAATTATCAATCTTTCTCTTTTCCAGTTATCCACTGTGATTTAAATTTGTTCTGCAGCAGATTATCAGAATAAATTGTAATGGAAGACCCATTCTACATTCAAGTCCCAATTACACTATTGTGTTGCATTAATGTGCACATTACTGCAATCAGTGGAAATGCATGTTACGTACGTTGTTGTGCTACCATTCAAAATGCACACTAAGACAACTAATCTGATATGCAGCATGCTGCAATGCATGGCAACCCATGATAGTGCATTGCATTGTGTTACCAAAAATGGTGCAAGTCCAGTTTTCGATGCGTTAGGATGCCTTGGCAGCCCATTCAATGGGATGCCTTAACGCAACTCACATTTACAAGATACCTATTGCACATGAATACACCATAAAATTGTAAATTAGCCCTCAAAGTAGCTGTCTGAAGGATTTATTGTTATGTCATGATAACTGAAACAGAGATATTTGTTGATACAATGATGCAGTCTCATTTAGAATACTGAATGTCTCATACTGCTCTAATGTTCTACACTGACAGAAAAGCAATATGCTGCAAAAATAGTAAATGTTAATTGTACATCTGGGGGTCATATGAATTGCTGTATGGGCAAAGATTAAAAAAATACAATACAAGAGTGAATAATTTATATATGATACATATACAGTATATGATGATATGAGGTTTGCCAGTCGGAGCAAGTTCAGTTACACTATAATCCAAGGATAGACAATGTTCCAGAAACAAAATTATGGCAAATTGGTTTACTGGATTAGTAAGTCTGGATTTCAGAATCCAGGAAAAGTGCCTTTACAAAATAGATTTTAAAAAAACATGAAAATGCTAATGTGGCTGTACCTGGACAAAGAGCCTAGAAAATGCATTGGACAAGAGAAGACCTCAAAACAAATGTGTATTCTCTAAGTATAATTTTAAGATGAAGGACAGCAGGGGGGTTGAGAATCTAAAACTACGGGGATTATTCACTAAACAGCCAAAGGATTTAGCAGAACTAATCCTTTGTCTCGCTTCGGATGCAGAAACCCTCCGGAAGAGGCCCTTCATCAGCATGGGGACCTCACCAGCATGGGGAAAAGGTGCTTTTCCAGGGGGGTCCCTCCTGGAAAAGCACCCTCCCAATGTCGAGGGCATGTGGCCTACTATGGTTCAGGGTGGGGAGCACTCGCTCGTCCCCTCCCTCTTCTGCCCTGTCATGCCAGTACTCGGTTTAGGGGTCAAGTAGGGGACTTTGTTTCTTTTTGTGAGGCGTTGGGGTACCCCCTAACACTCCTACCATATCTAAAGGGGCTGGTATTAATCGGGAAGGGTGCCCGTGCTGTTTTATTGTTTTTTTTTCTTTTTTTCAATTACAGATTTCATTCTGTTAGCTACCTCTGAGGGTACCTTTAGCGGACAGAATGACCAAGCCAAATGCTGAGCTAAGTATTTAGCAATTGACTCTCTCCTGTTCGGCCCCTTAGAATAGGGGTGAACAGCAAGGAATGAACTGCCGAACATTCGCCTAAGCAGATCCAGATGTTGCATCAGCTGCGGTGAACAGGCTCTTCCCTTCAGTTCAGCCAAACGTGCTGAGGTTCTCCGGCCGAGACGAAGGGAGGCGAAGCAGGCCAAATGCAACCGACGTAAGCTAAGAATAGCCGTACAGGGCTGCAGTGA